AGGGCATATTTCAAACCCAATTTGTAAATAAATTAGTGACCAAAAATTGCAATAGTGGATGTTAAAGTAATGGGTTGACCCTTGGCTACAAGTGTGTGCAATTTTTTTTTGGATCGGGTCACCCCTTTGGACGCAATACCCCGAAATAGGTGGGCCACTTACTAAACCGTACNTATTTATTCTAAATTAAACTCGTACAATATTTTCTATTTATCAAAAACAAGTTATAAAAGTCACATATATAAATGTAAGGATACCCAAGGAACTCGCGATCGTCTCGGATGATTTCCAGCAGCAAAAGAGAAAGAAAGCAAAAAAGGAGCAACGCTAAACGAATAAGCAGAGTTGCATTTTTGTCTTGCTGGATTTGGTGTTGCCACACTGCATTTAAGTATACGTTCTGCGTTGTCGACTAATCTCAGCTTTAAACTATGGAGTAAAAAGTATCGGAATCGAATGGCAAAAGTATCGATATGGTAACTTATCATATCGATATACGTTTTCCTAGCCACATCAGTTTATAAAATTCAGACAATGTTGGCCGGCTTTTCATTTGCTATTGGTATTTTAATTTTGGTAATAAAATATATCTAAGAAAAATAGACTATACAAAACTTTCTATAATATGAGCGTAAAGCAGAGTTACGCAGTTAAAAATGTTTGAGAAAATTGTCAGCCGATCACTGGTTTTGTTAGTGGCGATTTCAAACCTTTTTTGTGATAATATAGCGACAGATTTAGCTGGTTCACCTCAAAGCTATTCTGTTACTACGCTTATCAATGCAAAGTGGGTACAGACACCCTTATATTTAGAAATAGCCGAGTATTTAGCGGATGAAAATCCCGCATTGTTCTGGGATTATGTTAATGCGGTACAAAAAGAACAAAAGTCGCTTAAGGAATATGGTAGGTTATGGAATTAACTTTGAACAACGCAATGTATTTATGTGTGAATCTTTTTAGCTTCAGAGTCAAATCAATATTTAGCAGCGATTAATCTTGTCCGGAATCGGCTAAGTGTACTTCAAGTACCCCTGCTTAAATTAGTGATATCTTTACATAGTCTAACGCCGCGGATTCAAACACATTTACAAATATCCAACGAAATATACAGTAGATCAAATTGCGATTCAGACACTTTTGTACAGATTGGAGATGAAGTAGTGTGTAACATTGATGAACTAAAGGAAAAACTCTACTCAAATAATTCTTTGGAGAGCATTGTAACGTACAGTTTCGATCATATTTACCCAGGCCTAGAAAATCAATCACGAACTATTATTCTATATGGTGATTTTGCATCTCGTTTATTCTCGTCATATCACAAAATTCTGTCGGAAGAAGCGGTTGCTGGAAATATTCGCTACATTGTCAGACATTTCATCTTAGTTAATCTAAATGACCGGCACGTACGTTTATCTGGTTATGGTGTAGAGCTTCATCTTAAATCAACTGAATATAAAAGTCAAGATGATGCGCCCAAGGCAACAGACGACAATGTAAAAAATAACACAGTAGATGACGTTGCAATTGAAGGTTTTGACTTCAAAATACTAAAGCATCGTTTTCCTAGTTTGTCTCATCCTTTAGATCAACTGCGTTATAACTTGTTAAAAGTTAATGAAGAAATCTCGCAATTAAAGGCTTGGGAATTTCAAGATCTTGGCTTGCAGGCTGCCGCTGCCATATCTGAGGTGCAAGGAGATGAAGCTCTTCAAATTCTACAATTCGTAGCTCATAATTTTCCTATGCAAGCACGCGCCCTTCTTAATCATAAAGTATCTGATGCACTACGTGCCGAAATCAAACATAATATTGATGTTTTTGGACGCAGTCTAAATATTATGCCCCCGGATGGTGCACTATTTGTTAATGGTTTATTCTTTGACGCTGATACTATGGATCTCGGTACTTTAGTAGAAACGGTGCGCAGTGAAATCCAGGTTCTCGAGACTTTGCACAGGAATAATATACGGGGTTCTCTAGCGACATCGCTCTTCGCCTTGGATCTTTCTGGCGCTTCAAACAAAGAGTTTGCAATGGATATTAGAGACACGGCAGTAATGTGGGTAAATGATATTGAGACGGACTCACAATACCGCAGATGGCCATCAAGCGTTATGGATTTGTTAAGGCCTGCTTTCCCAGGAATGCTACGAAATATTCGTAAAAATATTTTCAATTTAGTTCTAGTAGTGGACCCTTTGGATCCATCAAGCCGTAATATTATTAAATTAGCAGAGAGTTTTATTATCCACCAAGCGCCTGTCAGGCTGGGTCTTGTCTTCGACATACGGAGGGCTCAAAAGGACACGGCTAAAGACTATCAATCAATTATTTGTGCTTATAACTATGTTACACAAAATAAGGATGGCAGATCAGCTCTTAGTTTTTTAACTGATGTATTCGCGACTGTCGATACCACGGAACGTGTACGCCATCAACATATCCGAAGTCAACTAAAAAAATTGTTTAGTAATTTTTATGGCAGTAACATTGATGATATTCTAGGAGAAGACTCCGATTATGAGTATGGTCAACAATTGTCCGAGGAGTTCATTGATCGTTTAGGTTTTGTTGATTCCCCTCAAGCATTACTTAATGGTGTACCTATGCAACAAAATTTATTGTCCTCTGATAGTGAATTCGAAGAAGCGATATTTTCAGAAATTATTCAACAGACTAGCATTTTTCAGAAAGCGGTATATAAAGGAGATTTAACAGACTCTGATTCAGTCATTGATTACTTAATGAATCAGGATCATGTAATGCCACGCTTAAACCAACGCATTCTTAGTATTGAAGCCTCTAAATTTCTCGATTTTACTGGAAATGAAAGCAAAGATTTAACGAACGTGCGGGGTCTGGGCCAACTCTCAAATCGAGATATGACTGCGACCCTTTTGACTAATTTAAAATATTTTATCGGTAAACATTCAACCGAAAATATTGGTACCGCTAAACTACACTTCTTAACTATTTGGGTCATTGCTGATATTGAACAAACCGAGGGTCGGGAGTTATTAACGAATGCTCTGAGATTCGTTAAATCTGGAAGTAGTGTACGCGTAGGATTTATCCCAAATTCAGAAGGCTCGAATCTTTCAGATAAACACAATTTGAATCGTCTTGTTTGGGCTGCTGCACAAACTCTACCGCCTCTGGAAAGCACAGACTTGGTTTTGAAATTGCTCAAGGACCCTACATCAGCTCATGATATTCCAGATGCAGTCAACGATGTTCTATCTTCAACTGAACTACATATGAAGATGTTGAGGGTATATGTACAACGTGTCTTTGGATTACATAAGTCTGGTCGCTTAGTGGTTGGAAATGGAAAAATATTCGGCCCGTTGTCTCCAAAGGAGCAGTTTAATATCGACGACTTTGGTCTGATTGAGAGACTAAATACATTCCAGTACGGCGACAAAATCCGAAAAGTAATACAGCAAAACGGCAATATTGACGGGAGCGGCGATGAACTCCCGATAACTAGTGATACATTACTTAAACTTTACGCAAGCCTGGTGCCCAGGCAATCCAAGACTCGCTTTAAGATACCAGAGGATATTAAGAAAGACAATTCCGTAGTCACATTAGCCCCCAAACAATCATGGTTGCCGCATTTTGATATTTCGGCAGTAATTGATCCAGCTTCTCGAAGTGCCCAGAAGTTGGCACCCATTCTTATTCTATTGAGAAATATTCTCAACTGTGATATGCATATATACTTAACCCCAGTCGGCCAACATAGTGATATGCCGGTAAAGAATTTTTATCGATATGTATTAGAACCAGAGGTACTATTTCAACCTAATGGTAAGTTAGCTGAGGGCCCATTCGCGAAATTCACTGGCTTACCTGTCAATTCGTTGCTTACCCAAAATTTACAGGTGCCTGAAAATTGGCTAGTAGAAGCTGTTCGTTCCGTATATGACTTAGATAACATTAAATTGAGTGAAATCGGTGGACCTGTCCATAGCGAATATGAATTAGAGTACTTATTATTAGAGGGTCATTGCTTCGATTCAGGCTCCGGTGCTCCTCCGCGTGGACTCCAAGTCACACTGGGAACGCAAAAGACACCTGCCATTGTTGACACCATAGTTATGGCAAATCTTGGCTATTTTCAACTCAAAGCAAATCCTGGTGTTTGGGGCCTGCGCCTTCGACAAGGAAAGTCTACGGACATTTACGATATTACCCATGCTGACGGAACAAATACCATTCATCAAAATCACCTAACAAAAGTCGTAATTAGTTCTTTGAGGTCACATGTGATAAAAATGCGAGTGACGAAGAAACCCGGAAAACAAAATGCCGATTTACTAGGTGATGACGAACACGAGACGAATTCTGGAATATGGAGCTCCATTGCTAATTCATTTGGTGCTGGCACTACCGCCTCAGCATCTGGTGAAAATAACTCGGGCGACTCGGATATAATAAACATTTTTTCTGTAGCTTCTGGTCATTTATATGAACGACTTATGCGAATTATGATGATATCAGTTTTAAAGCACACAAATTCGCCAGTAAAATTTTGGTTTCTAAAAAATTACCTATCACCTCAGTTTACAGATTTTCTTCCACATATGGCGAGGGAATATGGTTTTCAATATGAGCTGGTGCAGTATAAATGGCCGCGCTGGTTGCATCAACAAACAGAAAAGCAGCGTACGATTTGGGGTTATAAAATTCTGTTTCTGGATGTTCTTTTCCCACTAAACGTTCGCAAAATCATTTTTGTAGATGCAGATGCCATTGTGCGCACTGATATCAAAGAACTGTACGACATGGATTTGGCAGGTGCCCCATATGCCTACACGCCTTTTTGTGATTCTCGAAAAGAAATGGAAGGATTCCGTTTTTGGAAACAGGGTTATTGGCGGAGCCATCTTATGGGCCGCCGATATCACATATCCGCTTTGTATGTTGTTGACCTTAAACGGTTTCGTAAAATTGCTGCCGGTGACCGGTTACGAGGTCAATATCAAGCGTTGAGTCAGGATCCAAATAGCTTATCAAACTTAGACCAGGATTTACCGAACAACATGATTCATCAGGTAGCCATTAAGTCACTACCGGAGGAATGGCTGTGGTGCCAAACGTGGTGCAGCGATAGTTCCTTTAAAAGAGCTAAAGTTATCGATTTATGCAATAATCCTTTGACAAAAGAGGCGAAACTTACAGCTGCGCAGCGTATAGTACCAGAATGGAAGAACTACGACCAAGAAATTAAAAGATTAATGACACAAATAGAGGATCATGAAAATAGTGACCACTACGCGCAAGACAACGCGAATATACTTCCTAAAACTTCAAGAAACGAGGAGAGCATTCAACATGAAGAATTGTAGTTTAATTTCCGCTCCGTCTTGCTATATAAATAGGTATATCCTTTTACCTCGATTAATGTAAACTAAAAAAGGTGAAAATTTTGTTTTAAATAAAAGTGATTAAGTTTAAACCCACAACTAAGTTTTAATGACAGTTTATACAAAAATTGCATTTTTTATACATAAGTATGTATGTACATTGTCTTACTTAATATCAAAAAACATCAGCTAACTAAAATTTAGAAACTATTTATAGTCACAATTTAACTGAAGTATTTTTGAAGAGTTCCTTGCTCGTACATTTTTTTAACATCTGTGCCGCCTCCAATGAATTTTCCGTTTATGAAACATCTCGGCACCTTAAAGAAATAAAAAAAATTATATTTTAATCGGATAACTATATTATCTTTCTTATATCTATATTACTATTTTGAAAAGCGACGCTTATTCCTGTAGACTAGAGTTGGGCTTTCTAAGGACGAGGCCACGCAATGAGCGGCAAACCGGCGAGCGGCTGATAGGAAATCTACATGAGGCGATTTTGCGTTCAACTCACGCAGGGTTGCACGAAAAAAGAGTTGAATGGCTAACGGTCTGATTATGCATACTTCGCACAACTTTGCACAACCATTTGTACCAGTGCAATAGAAATGTAACTTAAGCGTTCCCACGACAGTCGGGTCTACGTAACCGGAAGGACCCAGATTTATATCTGGCCAAGGACTGTCGCCCCAGCAACACTCGCCAATAAGTCTGGGGAATTTGTATGCTTCTACAACAACAACAAATGTAACTCAAGAAAATGTGAAGCAAAATCTAAACTCAACAGATCGGTAAGTTTTTAAAAGTTCTGCTAATTTCTGGATAATGGAATACAGGCCCTTATTATGAGCTGCATTCGATTTTCGATCTTCGCTGGCTATCGAAGATCGAAGATAGAAAGTGAAATTCGTATTATGAGCTATGCAAGCGTTCGAAATTTTCGTTGAGTGACGAATTTTCTGTCGAACAGAATTTTGCTTTCGATGGTGTAGCGAACTGTTAGAAAATTGTGAAAAATTTATGATTTTGTATATGTTTTCTTACATTTTATTTCATTTTAATTAGAACAAATTTACATAAATATGTATAAGCACACTATTTAGGTTGCTCGATTTGTAAACAAAGGCCCCTATTATGATTTGCATTCGATTTTCGACTGTGGTCGAAAGTGCTGAGCGAACGAATTTGCATTTGGTATTATGGCACTCATTCGATGAAGAATAGCGCTATTGTGAATTTCGCTCGTTTAGGTTGTTCACAATAGTATATTTTTCACCGCTGAGAAGCTTTGTTTACAAATCGAGCAAACTAAATAGTGTGCTTATACATATTTATGTAAATTTGTTCTAATTAAAATGAAGTAAAAAAGAAAGCAAGTTTATAAAAACGTGGTAAAATGAGTACAACGAGTTCTGGTTCAACGATTCGTCAGAGGATGAGAGCTTAGTAAACTGGCCAGGAGTAGCAAATGTTTAAGAGAGTTTAAGTTTATTAGTCTTTCGAATATATTTTGATATAAAATATATTTAAGAAATTTGTCTACAGATTCATTAAAAAGTTCCGACCATCTAAAGAGGCGTTTGTGAGCCAAATCTATTTAAAATATTTTAAAACTATCAACAGCGCTACGATTTTGTTCTCAGAGATCGTGCCAACAGAGTATTGGGATTTTCTTTCACAAGTAAAACCAGCCTTTCGAGCTTGTGTTTAGTATTCACGATGTTAGAACTGCATGAAATTAATAAAAATTGTTTAAAATTAGTGTCTAGCCGCCAAAATGTAAGAAAACATATACAAAATCATAAATTTTTCACAATTTTCTAACACTTCGCTACACCATCGAAAGCAAAATTCTGTTCGACAGAAAATTCGATACTCAACGAAAATTTCGACACGCTTGCATAGCTCATAATACGAATTCCACTTTCGATCTTCGATCTTCGATAGCCAGCGAAGATCGAAAATCGAATGCAGCTCATAATAAGGGCCAAAGCTTCTCAGCGGTGAAAAATATACTATTGTGAACCTAAACGAGCGAAATTCACAATAGCGCAATTCTTCATCGAATGAGCGCCATAATACCAAATGAAAATTCGTTCGCTCAGCACTTTCGACCACAGTCGAAAATCGAATGCAACTCATAATAGGGGCCACATACAAAGTACATACGTAATTACAGTTTCAAGTTTATGCGAAGTATGCACAAGAACGATAGAATACAAGATTGCGCATTCCCGCAGAATGACATTTGTGGCAACGGATAAACAAAGAATATGGCGAAGAACAATGAGTTGACAGTTGTGAATTTGCAGTGAGAAAACGTGTTTTCTTCTCGATTCACCAATTTTTCAAGCCATCTTTTAATAAAGCAAATTAAGCACAACGTTAACAAAAAATATACAACCACTCTTGAAATGTGTTCAAAAGAATAGGTCTTATTAATTAACTATTTAGAATTTTTGTGTTTGTATTGCAGGTGCCGAAAAAGTGATAATATCTTGTCGCAGCGCATGTTTTCCTGCAGAAAGTGGTCGATGCTTGCTTACCTCCGATTTCAATTTGTAATTTGCGGTATTTCAACGTTTTCAATTTAACATGTCGTGTTTGAAAGTGGTCCGTAAAGTGCTTCATGCATATTACGCTGGTGTCTAAATTGTATGGCTTCTCCTGCCGGCAGAACTCTACCCCCTTTCTGG